GTGCTGGAGAACCCCTCACTATGTGGTGCTGGGTGGCAGGCAGAGCCCTCTTCCCATGCAAGGGTGCAGCTCGTGATCCAGCTCACCCAGGGAGAAGCAGCTGCTCCAGCTCTTGACTCAGGAGCTGATGACTTAGAGAAGCAGGTCCGTGGAGAGTCCATTCTAGAGCTAGCACAAGTAGCCACAACTTCCGGTTTCCAGGAATGACAGGACAGAGAGCCGGGGGATGCCAGTGTCGGATGCCAGCAGCAGCAGAGATGCCATCTGGTACCCTGCAATTAGCTACGTTAGTCACGCTGAACTGTGACTCAGGCTTGAGTCTGGATGGAACTAGCTTTTTTGTGTCCTTGCCTATTTTACAATCCTGGCTCCCTCCCTCATCTCCCCTGTGAGTCTGTGAGCTACTCCAGTATGTTCAATAAATTCCCTTTCTTCGTCAGCTGCCAGAAGTGTTTGTTTCTCACCACCACGCTCCCTGATTGTGTTGGGTAAACAGAGGCCGTGAGCAGCTGCAGGCGTAGCTCTCAGAGACGGGCAGCACCTGCAGAGGAGCTGGTCGTGAGGCAAAGAGCCCCGGATGCTGCCGGCTACTTTCTAGACTAAAATCGCCACTGCGCCTTATTCACTCACCCTCAACAAAGCAAGCGAGGGATAGGGTTTTTCTTCCCCATTGACAGCTTTCTCCGAACTGCACAACTCCATTCAGAACTTGAGTAATTGAATGGACCGTGCGTTGACAGTACCTGAAATCTGTCACCCTCCTTTCATGGCCTGCTCCCATCCTGTGCAAGGGGAGCCCTTCGTAACCTGCCCAGGGCACTCCCAAATCAATGACATTCTTGACATCACACGGCTATTGGAAGGTAAATCTATTATGAGACGTATCCAAAAAGTTCATGGGAAATGTGTAGTATGCAAATCTACACTAAAATTTCAGAAAATTTTTGCACCAAATAAAGCCTGTTGTTGAATCCCATTTTCCCATGAGCTTTTGGAAATCCCCTCTTATCCACAGAAGGGGCTGAAACACTGAGAGCCAGTACCAATTGCACTTCTCTAAACAGAACTTCAGAAGTTGTCTATAAAGTGATGGTTCTCTGAATTCAGTCACTTCCCCACCTATTTACCGGGGAATCGCCAAGATGTGTTACTTTGTTTTCACATATGTTGGCAACTGCTGTGAATACTGACACAGGCATATATTATTTTATTGTGGGATGGACACATAACATGTAATAGAGATTTTTAATCATTTAACCAAACCGTTCAGTAGTATTAAGTACACCAAAACTGTTGTGCAATCATCACCACCTTTTATCTACAGAACTTCTTTCCTCTTCCAGCTGAGACCCCACACCCATTACCTATCCACTAAATACCTCCCTTTTCACTCCTCCCCCCTATCTCTGGCAACTGCCACTCCAACCTCTGTCCCTAGGGCTAACAGCTCCAGGTAACGCATGTAAGTCGAATCTTACAGCATTTGACCATTTGTGACTGACTGATTTTACCTTCCATAACGTCTCGAGGTTCGTCCGTGTTGTAGCTTGTGTGAGAATTCCCTCCTTTTGAGGACTGACCCATACCCTGGCGTATGTATACACCACATTTTGTTTGTCCATATTGACAAATACTTGAGCTGTTTCTACCAGCTTTAGGCTATTCTAAATAATGCCATTGTGGCCATGAGCGCACACATTAAATGTATACTTTATGACTTATTTCCATTAAGCCATTAAATAAATTTGGAATATGGATAATTGCAACCCAATTTATCTGTTTTGTAGTTCTGAAGAGCCATATAATAAACTTCATAATTTTGCTTCACACCTGTATTCTTTATTATTTCAAAATAGGAGGAGGCTCAGCACATCTACAAAGGTCCATTTCACTCCGAGGCGGGAAAGCCCATTTGAGTGCACCAATGGGGAAATCATTCTCTAAGGGCACGCAGATGTCAAAACTCTCAGGTAGCTCTCTGCTCCCCTGCATTTTGGTCTGAGAGGGGCCCTCCTCTCCTCCTCCAGCCCTCCCTTGGGGATTGCCAGCCTAATCCACCCTCAGTAAGTCTCCTCGATGGCTTTTTCCCACCTGGGGCTGTGGATCTCTCAGCAACATCAGTAACCAAGAATTCTGCACATGTCTAATGCTTTCTGCACTTGGTGAGACATAAGCAAGTGTAAACAAGTTCATTTTCTCTTCGCCCCACACTGCCTTTGACCCAGATGATCTGCCTACCCAGAACATGCAGGCAAGGAATCCAGTTGGAAATGGGATAACAACAATGGTGAAAGACAAGGACGACCAAAGAAAAGTTCCCAGAGCTTTAAAATTATGATCTCGGTTTTCATCTGAAAGCAGGTTGAGTGCAGAGGGGGAACTTGGGCGTGCCCTTCCGTTCTTCTCTAGCTAAAGCCCTGGCTGGGAGGAAAAGGCACTGAGCATCACTTGCAAGCATCACTTGCATCACTTGCCATTTCCAATGGATCTTTGCCAGACCACTGCCCGTAGATCTCTGCTCCCATTCTATACTTGAGGATCCTGGACCTCAGAAATACTCAGGATTTGCCTGGGTGCTAAAGTTCAGAACACAGACAAAGTCCTGAGTGACGCCAGGGTTGCTGCTAAATGGCCTTCCAACCCCACTGATGAGAGCACTTGCGTTGTGTTCTGTGGCATGATTTTCTGAAGGGCTGTGACAGTCTTGTGGCTCTGTAGGTGGGTCAGAGTTTGAGACCGGAGAGGGTTCCTCCTTCCCCAGCCCCAGTCAGCTCTCCTTCTCGCCCGAGGAGGGCAGCTGTTAGAGCGCAGGAAGAAATCCTAACTCCCCCTGATTCTCTGTTGGCCCAGTCGTTTGTTTCCTGATTACAATGGGCCAGCAAACCTCCTACCTGCCCCTACCGCATCATCTAGCCCTACTATGGTCTGAAGCTGTGTGTCCACCCCAAGTTCATATGCTGGAATCCTTACCTCCAAGGTTAGGATTGATACCTTAGGAGGTGGAGCTAAGTCATGAGCCCCCATGAAAGAGATCAGTGCCCCCATGAAAGAGGTCCACGGGAGTTCATTTGTCCTGTTAATCATGTGAGGACACAGACAGTGCCTTCCACAAACCTGGAAGCAGACCCTCTCCAGCCACTGAATCTGTGGGTGCCTTGACCTTGGACTTCGCAGTCTGCAGAACTGTGAGATATACATTTCTGTCCTTTGTAAGTTGTCTAGTTTATGGTATGTTGTTACAGTGATCCAAATGGACTACAACAGACCCCAACCCCTATTATGATCCACTGACTTGTCCTTTTCAACAATGAAAAAAGCAGAAATAAAGATGCAGGTAGCACACCAGGAATTACCTCCCAACTCCTAGGCTCTTGAACATGCAAAGAATCCAGGGAGGCTGCTGTGGCCTGTTACCCAGGACAGCTATAAGGAAAGCGGATGTCCTGCCCCCATCCTGCCCACTTGGACAGGGTACAGTTCTGCCTAGAGGCAGGGGAGGCACCGAATGACCTCCAGAGGACTGGGAGCCTCTGGTGCAGCCACAATGTGGCCACAGATGTTGCCTGTCATCAATCACTCAGTGCATCTGTTGGCAGAGCCGCTTGTTTAAAGATCGAGGCGTTTGCTAATTGAAAACTAAAAGATCCATCCGTCTCACTCACAGCCAGCATTAAATTCACTCAGCCATGCGAGATCAGGGTAAAAAAGGCAGCACAGAGTGATTGTGTCCTTGGGCTGGTGCCTCCCTGTGGAAGTCATCTGGCTCCTGCTTCTTCTGACAGAGTGAGGTTCACCTCCCCACATCTCGCAGCCAGGGGCAGGGGCGGGAGGTTGCTCATATTGCAGTTTGTCTAAGACATCCTCATCTGTTATCCTCAGTGCAGCCCAGAGAGACAGGTGTCATTAGCCCCAATTTAAAGATAGGGAAACCGAGGCTCGGCAAGATTGATTGAGGCAGGTGATCCAAACGCAAGCTGATGCAAACAGCAGGTGACAGAGGCAGGACACCAATCTCAGGGCTCACTCTAGCGCGAGGCTCACCTGGTCCTGAACCTGTAGGGGTGCTGAGTTGGGAGGTATCAAGCCCCTCCGTGAGTGGACGAAACCTTGGGAAGAACGGCTCAAGGCTGTACAAGGGAAATCACAACGGTTGGGTTTGATTGCTTTAAAAGCAATGACGACAAAATGTTAGGGCTCCTGACCGCTGCCTATCTTCCTTTCGCTCCTGCAGGAGCGGGGGACAGTTCAGATTCGCACACCGGGCAAAGGCAGGGCAGCTGTCGCCTCCCCAGTGCGGGCTCCTGGGAGGGCGTCCTTTTATGTGCACCCGTTAAAGCCGCAGGTAAGCGGTGTGTTACCGGTATTTTCCCGAGGGCCTCCACTCTGGACTGGCGGCATGTGGGAACAGGAGCCTGTGGCCCCTGCCTCTGACAGTGCGGGGGAGGCAGAACAGAAGGAGCTAACAGCTGAAGGAATGAGGAGAGGAGAGGGGAAGGGAAGGAACAGGAGGCTCCTCTGGCCCAGGGCGGCCGCGGGGCAGTCCTCACCACCACTTTCTTCCTCTCCCACCACTCCCCACCAGGCTCTCCTTTGGGAGTCCGATGTGAGCTGGAGTCCCCAAAGCCGCCTTTCACATTCCCGTCCCAGGTCAACTCCAAGCAGGCTTTTCCTCCGGAAGAGTCCAGCAACCGAACTGACCCCAGAGATCCCAAGACGTAAAACCGACCCGGGTTCCTTCCCTACACCCGACCCTTGCCTTCTGGCTCCCTTGAAGATGCTTAACCAAGACAGCCGCTGCGTTACCCCGGTGCGTAGCGCGAGCTCAGCCCGCAGCCCCGGCCGGAGGGCGGACGCCTCCAGACCCCAGGCCTCCGCAACGCGGAGCAGGCTCGCCGGCGCGGCGGGGAGGGGCGGGGCGCGCCGACCCTAGGGGCGGGGCCCCAGCAGCCTCGTGGCCAGGCGGCCCCGCCCACCCCCTCGGCGCTCCCGGCGCTCAGGCGCCGCGAAGCTGTCCAGCCTCAGTGCCGGAACCGGCCGCCTCCCGCGCGCCGTGCCGCGCCGCCTCCGCGCCTCGTCCCCGTGCAGCCCGCCGCCCGCTCGCCGGCCCCTCCCCGCCCCGCCGCGGCCCGTCCACTGCTCCTCGCGGGCCCGAGCCGGCCGAGCGGCTGCCCGCCGGGGCTCTGCACGGCGCGGCGGGGCCGGGACCAGGCGCCCGCCAAGGAGAGCGGCGGTCCAGGACGGCTGCCGGAGGGGCAGCCGCGCGTGGATGCAGCGGGCGCCAGGAGCCTCGCGCAGCCGGTGCCGTCTCTGCCCCCGGGCGCCCTATGGCTTGAAGGTAAGCCCCGACCGGATGGAGCGTCGGCGGCCGGGCCCGGCAGGGCCCCGGAGACAGGCGGTGGGGGCTCGAGGGCGGCGTGGCGGGGACAGAAGTTTGCCCGGCCGCTGGACTCGGGCTCCCCGCGCGCCCTCCGTCGGGCTGCTGGCCCGGGACGTCCCCGCCCTTCTCCCCAGCACCGCCCGCGTCGCCCGAGCGGGAGTCCCGGCCACGAGCACGGCCCGGCCAGCCCCGAGAGCGAGCCCGTGGGCCGCGCGGCTTCGGAGGGCGAGCGGCTCCGACCTTGCCCGAGAGCGCGCACCGGAGTTTCCGCCCGCCGCGTAGCGGGAAGGGTTGATTTTTGGCAGCTCCGCATTGGGGCGACCCCAGACTTTAACATTTGAAACGGCAGAAGCGAGGGACCGGAGGAGCAGGGCCGTGGCCCTGGCCCGTCTCTCCCACGCCTCGGCTCGCGCTGGCCTTGGTCCTGAACGCGCGTTCTGCTTCGCCTCCGCTCGGTTCGAGACCCACTCAGGGAGCGAGGGCGGGAGTCCCGACCCCTGTGGACTGACGGTGGACGCAGAGGCGGGGGCGGGGGGTGACCGTCCAGCTCTGGGTTGAACCTGGAGCCCCGCCAGGCGCCGTGCGGAAACGAGAGGCAGCCCTAAGCGGCAGACCGCGCGCGTCCCCATCGCTGTCCTCTGCGGACGGTCTGTGAGGCGCCTCTCCAAGAGCAGAGGTAAGAGGGTGCCTGTGCGTCTACACAACAGGCTTCGCCATGGACACGAGGCACAGCGCGGCAGCTCCGCGGGGACAGGCCCTGCTCTGAGCTGCAGGGAAGCTGCCTGAGCGAGACACTCTTGCCTGCCAGGCCCCGCGCTTTAGGTGCTGGGGCTGTAGGGGTTGGATGAGGCATCAGGCACTTGGTGGACGCTTTCTAGATGCTGCTGTAGATCCAGTAATTTCTAGGTTTTGACCAGGCTAGAAACCTTTTAGGATAATCTTTGCTCCTCCTCAGGGAACAAGGTTTCCGTGGACCCCCCCCCCCCATGGTCCTATGAAAATCCTTGTACTTACCCCCGATTTATCCTAGAGCATTGGGATCGCTTGAAAAAGACAGCATTCTTTTGCCTCCCCTCCTTAGACTGCTGTTGGAAGAGGGTGGGTGGAGAGAGTGGACAATTTCCAGAGTCAGCAAGCAAATTTGCTGGGTTTCTCAACTCCTGCCTGAGACTTCCGTGTGAAGTGTTCACAATCCCTGGCCTGTTAGTTTCTAGGGGTTTTCACGCTGTCTGAACTCCAGACAGGGAAGAGATTTGGGGGATTAAACCTGTACCCAACTGCAAGCCATGGTAGTCCCAGCCTTGGGCTCCTAAAGAGGATTCTGAGTTCCTTCTCCCCTTTCCTGCACAGCCTGAGCATGAGCGATGCCTGGAGAGGGGCAGAGTCAGGTCTGCTGTAGGGGTCTCTGCCACTTGTTTGTTTTGCTTTGTTTTCATGAACTGCCTGTGTCTGAATCACCTCGGAAGCTGATTAAAAATGCGTGTTATTGCTTCTTCCCTGAAGAACTGCTGAATGAGATTCCCAAATGGATGCTCAGGAATTTATATCTTTAAAGTATTTCTGGATGATTCATAGGTACACAGACTCTGAATTTTAAGTTTATAAAATCGAGATCTTGAATTTATCCCCCAGCCCTCCCCGCCCCAGCCCGAGTTGTACATATTAAACCCCTCAAGTGTGGGACTCCCGGCAGAAGGATCACCCCTGATATAATCCCACTGCTGCAATGAGTGGTGCAAAGCGACCCCATTTCCCTCAGCCTTCTCCTGGGCTTTTCTTCTTCCAATATAGATCTGCACCCTCTCTAGGATTCACCAATATGGCTTCAGGTTGACTTGTGTAAGTACTAACTGCCCCTCTCTGGGGGCTAACCTACTGTGTCCCTTTTCCGTCCCCTTCTGGGTGAGTTACTGTTTTTCATTATGCATGTGCAGTGATCTGCTAACCCAACTGCTCCTGAAATGCCAAGGAGTGATTAGTTCAACCCAGTAGCATGTCGTGCTCCCCCAAGGCTGGAAGCCACTCATGCTCTGCTGGCAGTGACATATTGACTGTATTGATTTGGTTCCTGTGCTGCATAAACTCAGGGGCTTGTAGGGCTGAATTGGCCAGATATTGTTTATGGGATAGTCAGCCCTCTACTTGCATCTGCAAGATTGGATTACTTCTGTCCGGAATGCGTAATCTTAAGATCTGAGTATATAAGTGAAAGGGAAAGGTGGGGTGGACTCTGCCTGGAGAGAGGTAGCTCTGTTTCCCCTGAAAGTGAAAGTTGCATTCTGGTGTTGAGAAGTATAGCACTGTGTGTATGTGTGTGTGTGTGTGTGTGCACGCGCGCTTGGAGCAGGTGTTATGAGATCTCCTTGAGCCAACCCTGCCCTTCCAATGTCTCATTTTCTGACCTGCCACCCCTCATTATACCCTCCTCTGTGGTTTAAGACCAGTGAGTCTCTAGTAGGCAAGGTGTTTTGGCAATGAGGAAGGAGAGGAAAATCAGAGTGGAGGTTTTATCATGCCAGGACTCCAAGCCTCAGTCTCGCCCAGGATCAGGTTGTGTATCAGCAGGTGAGGTTTGGGGTCTTGAACTTACAAGGACAGTCTGTTCATTCGCATTTCGACACTGTAAACAGTCTCAGGACTTGGATCCTTGGGTTCTTTGGCTTCACAGAGGTCATTCTGGTTGCCCGTGACCTGCAACAGAGCAGCTACTCTGTTAGTCCAGAACACTCCTGTTATTAAAGTCCTGTCCAAAAGGAGTGGCATGAGCCTTTAGTTCCTGGGCACTGGTATTGGACCCAGCAAGCAAAGCTGTTCTATCCCACCAGGAGCTCTGCCCAGCAGGGGAGCGTTCTGCATATAAGAAATGTGTGGAAACCACAGGCAGAGGCAGCAGAGAGAGCACAGTTCAGCTGAACTTCTTGGCTATAGTCTCTCCCTGAGCTGTACCCTAGCACCATTTTCCCTCCCAGCACCCCCAGGGAGGCATCTTGTGGATGTGGGAGGACTCAAGACTTGGCTCTGGGATTGTATATAAGCCCACGAGCTCTCCAGGATATGAAATGATGCCATTTAAGCTGTGCATGTTGCTCATTTACCAATTCTGGGTTCTAGACTAATATTATCTCCAGCGTTTTTAATTTCTTGAATAGTGTTGAAATTCAGTGTTAATATGCCTCTGCCTCTCACCTGTCCCCATCACCAGTGTAATTGAAAATTTCTTTATTTTCTTTAACAACAGAGTCATATTATCTAAATGCATAGGCTTGGAAAATAGCTTATGATAATGTTAGTTATGGGGATGGAGAGTGATAAACCCGTAAGACTCAGCCTCCTTGGTTTGCTTCTGTTTGGGTCTAGAGAACTTTTCCCCTGGACAGGATACTTTTCCTTCCTGTCCTTTTCACCTCAATCTGATAAATGGGTTAAATCAACATGCTGGGTGGCCAGGATGCCCCTGGGAGTGTGCTCTCCCTTCTCTGCTTGGGAGACACAGAAATGTTTCTCTGTGGAGGAGCCAAGGCTCCCGCTGGCTTCAGTGAATAGGGATGACTCACAGGGGCCTGGGGACTCCATCCTCCCCTGGATGGAAGAGGCTGTGCTGCCGCAGTGTCCCCACCTCAGAGACCTGGAGGCTGCCGAAAGCATTTGAGGGAGGATAGGGCAGTGTATGTATGTAGGTTCTCAGGGGGCACTCAGAAGAGGCTGGTGTTAAATATGCATTGAATACTGGCATTAACTCTATGCATTTGGAGCAATTTTGTCTTAATTAGCTGGCACCTGCAAGAATTTTCACTTTTCCCAGGAGGAGAGGAGGGATTTCTTTGCCGCCTTCAGGGATGGGGAGTGGTTTGGGCTTTCCCTGACACTCTCTGAGTGATCGCTGCCTGCTCCCAGACAGAGCGTGGCTAGAAGATTAGGCTTCTCAGCCTCAAGGGCCCCAGTAGTAGGCCTCTGCCTTGCGGGGCACTGCCACTCCAAGGGCACACCCCTGCAGATGTCTGGGAGACCAAGGGAGTCCTGCGTGCTGTCCTCTCATCACTGGGCTCCTTTGCAACATGCCTGCTCTTCTGGCTTCCACCCCTGCCTTGTTGTTATTGTGTGGGCTCTAAGTGGCCCAGCAGGGGAAAGGCATTAGAAATAAAATTATTTTTGTTGCACGCTGTGTGATTGCTTCCTCTCCTTTCTGGGATCCCAGGTAGCAACACCACTAGCAATTCCCTGGGAACCCTTGATCTGCGAAAGTGCCTTACTCCTTAGAAGGGCTGCTTTTGACAAGTGGTCCTGCTCACACTGTCCCTTCATCGTTGGCCTCATCATCCAAGCTGCCAGCATTTATTATGTACTTGCTGTGTGCAGGTCACTGTGCTCAGCACTTGGCAGGTGTTTTTCATATCAACTCCTAATGCTGCAGCAAGTCTATGAACGGCCACTGTTGTTTCTCCATTTTGCAGAGGAAGAAACATGGGCTTAGAGAGGTAATTGGCTTGCACAAGGTCATGCAGCTAACATGTCGGGGAGAGATTCAGAGCTAGACTGATACCAAAACAATAGCGCTGTCTGACTTATGTAAGTGATATACAGGATAGGGATAAAAAGGTGCTTCCTTAAGAAACTGAAATGACAGTGAGCTTTGCTTATGGTACCAGAAAGTGAGGAGGGAGACAGCGGAGGGAGAAGGTGGATGACTGTCTCAGGGTTCTTAAACTGGAGGTCCATCTAGTGAGTGTTCTATCCTGGATGGAGTGCACTGGGAGCAGAAGGGAACCGGTGTCAACTCTGCCTTCCAGCTCGAGGGGAGCAAGAGGAGAACAGGTGTGGCCGGATGACCGACTGGTCAAGCTAGTCTGGAACTCTGATAATGTCGCCCTGTCTCCCAGTCTCTTCGGGGTGTGCTGAACTGTCCAAAGGGGGAAAGCCAGATTTCTGCCAGTCCTTCAGCCTTTGTTGTTGCTTTCATA